GGGGCGCGTGGGCAGGCGGCCGCTGGTCTTGTAGCGCGGCTCCTGCCGGATCCTCACCGCGTGGTATTTGGGCATGATCCGGTAGTAGCGGGTCCGCTGGAAGAAGTCGCACTGGGGGGAGAGGGAGGGGAGAGGGTCAGCGTGGGGCGAAGGAGAGAGACCCCAGAGCCAGCGACGAGCAGAGGCAAAGGGAGCAGCAGTCCTGGAGACCCCACGGAGCCCTTTGTGCCCTATAGGGACCCTATGGGACCCAGATGAGAGATGAAGCAGTGAGGAAGAGGAGAGGAGGCTGAAGAGGAGGAGGATGCCGCCGCAGCCGGCCCCGCGGGGCATTACCAAGCGGGTGGCGTGGGCACCCGGGGGGGGCAGCGGGGCTGCCCCCCTCTAGTAGTCGTCTGTCAGCCGCTTGGTTTCCGACGGCTGGATCCTCATCTCCGCCTTCTGCCCCTTGGCTTCGTACATGGCCCGCGTGTTGGCCCGCCGGAAGAAACCGCACTGCGAGGAAGGAGGTGACAGGGGTCAATGGGGGACAGGAGAGGGGACGGGGGGCTCCTGGCCACCCCCGTGGGGCGGGGGGAGCGGGGCAGGGAGCTGCCCCATGGCACCCTCACCCCTAGGGATGCTGCGGGTGTGCGGCCCTGCAGAGCCACGTAACCCCGCCTGGCCAAAGAGTGGAGCCGGGGGGGCCCCAGGGAGCCAGGAGGGTCCCCAGGGGGCTGGGGGGTCCCCAAGGGGCTGGGGGTCCCCAGGGAGCCAGGAGGTCCCCAGTCCCAGCGGCGCAGGGGGAGGTGGGAGCCGCGGGGCAAGGAGGTGCCATCGTCCAGCCCTGCTTTGGGGGGTTTTTTGCAGCTCCCAAAATGTTTTGCACCGGGGCAGGGGGCAAGTCGGGATTCTCTGCTCCTCTTCCTCATCGCTCAGCAGCCGGGCACCTTCCCCCCGCCGCTCCTGAGCATCCCACAGCCAGGCAGGGAGGATGGCAGCCACCGGTGACACGAGCCCGTCGGGTCTCAGCACGGCTCCTGCACCCCCTCCCCGGGGGGGGGAAACCGGGCACCCCCTCACCTTCCAGAGCAGGAGGATGATCAGCCCCAGCAGCAGCAGCCCGGCCGCCACCGCCACCAGCACCAGCCACAGCGCGATCTCGGCCGGCTGCTCCTCCGTCAGCTCCGAGTCCACGTCCACGGAGAACTGGAAGGGCCGAGAGGAACCTCGTCGGGAGAAGAGCTCCCAGCAGCTCCAGTCCCCAAGCCTGTCCC